TCATGGTGATAAAGATGCTCCAAAAACCATATTTGCAACAAAATGTTGCAGCCTTCAAAGTACATTTCCCTATTTATGCATTTAGTCAATGCACGGAACGTATCTACCAGGATCATAGGAATAATAGTAGGACTCTCCACTGTGGTCAACGTCTTCACCACCCCAGCCAGACGAATATCGATATGCTTGTCCCGTTTGGGGAAAATAATGAGCCCCAAAAACGCGACCATGAAGGCAAAACATCCATTTGCCTTCCAAGCCTCTTCACCCCCTTGGTTGCTAAGTTGGTTCCGACAGTTTTTAAATTCATCCTTTTGGCCATACCTCTCATATAGAAAGTCCAATGAAACCCACCCATTTTTCAAACTCTCCTTCTCTACTTGATTGACTTGAGAAGTTCCAGGAACTTTTTGGCATCAACGTTCTTTGGAATTATAGGTTTTTTGTTGCGGAGATCAGCACCCCGAACACTGGACCCCTTCCCTATGAAGCTGGCGATTTCTTCCAGAGTTAGTGTCATTTTGAAGTCAGAAAATTGAAATACATTATATTTTGAATCCCAGAAAGGAATCAATGCCTCGATCACATCCCTTCTAGGGTCAATCTCCATTAGATGAACTAGATGTCCCAGATGTTCTTTTACTCTCCTTTGCTCATGACTCCCCATGTCTGTCCACCATCGCCATAAATTCTTGGGTATTGTGTCAACGATCATGAACTCTGGAATTCCTTCACTTCTAGGCCTTTTGGAACCCTGTCATTTGGTCGAAGGTGCCATTTGTACCTTTGAATAGAGTCCAATTAATGTTTTATGACAAACTCTAACCGGGGGAAGAAAGAAGAGTAAACAAAAACTTATTTTTAAAAAAAAACAAAATACCTCTTTTTACAAACACCGAACCCAAGAAGGGATGCCTACGTATCTCATTTTAGTGAGAATCAGGTGTGCGTAGTTCATAAAAAAAAACTCACACTTGAAAAACTCTTTTATTTCAACCTCTTTTATTATTATTATTATTATTATTTTAAATAAAATAAAATATTGAAAGACAAAGCTATTATAAAGTTGGTCAACAATATAAAGGTCTCCTGAACAAATTATTCTCACGTAACACATAAAATGAACATGTTGGTCTAGAGTGGGCACATATCTTAGATTTTCTAGGTCAAATGCAAATGATACAAATAAACGTAGCCTACCAGAGATAGTTTTTGTTAGGTTTAGCATTTTTTTTTTGGAAGGTGTCTAGACTGGCTTACTCGAGTGGACAACTCGAGTAGGAGAGGGTCAGCGTACCGGTAGCAGAGCTATTCCAGCTTAATTGGTGGTCCAACCCCGCCTAACATGTGTGACAAACCTAGAACCAGGAGCGTAACCACACATTAGCTCATCCTAGACAGAAGTCCCGTGGAGCGTATCTGCACACACAGTGTATAACAAAATTATGGAGATTCAAAGTGTGTGTGAAAGGAGGCAATTTATATACAAATACACAATATCAAAACAATGAATCATTGAAATAATGCAATAAGTCAACAAAAAATATCAAAAAATTATCCAAATATTCAAAATAGGCAAATATAGTTAATGTACAAAGCTCGAATTCTAAAGAAAGTCCACAGCAGAGTCGCCCGATCTGTCACACCACTTCTCTTTTTACAATAGTTATGGATATGACGGTTTTTTTTTTTTAAAAAAAAGAATAAAAAAATATAAAACTAAAGAAAAATTTGATTTTTTTTTTTTAAAGTCGCCACTTGAAAATGAGTTTTTTAGGTGTTTCAAGTCACCTAGTTATTCCAAATTTTAAAAAAAAAGAAAAAAAAATCTTTTTATTTTAGTCTTCGAAAACAGAGATTGGGTAAAGAATTCTATTGACCGGAGGGAAGGTGTGAGGCACCCCCCGAGTCCCGTGGTTCTAGCGCGGTTGCTTTATCAACTCATGTTTGGCTAAAATAATTTTTGGATAAAAGAATAAATTTGTGTTAGTTACTAATTTTTTTTAATAAAACAAATGATTGACCTAGGAGCGTAACCGCACACAAGATCACCTTTTAGAAAGAATACACACCAAGGATCGTAACCGAACACATGGTGGTATTTAAAGTATATATTCTTTTTTTTAAAAAAAATAATGACTAGGCCCCTTTTAAAACAACTAGTGATATACTAAAAAAAAATTATATTGATATAATTTCAGAAAACGACGACTTTAATAAATTTTTTGGTTTTTCATAAAATGGTCATATGTTTTCTTTTGAAAGAAAAATTGCAAAAATAGCCTATTTATCTAATAGTTAAATTACTAATCAAAGTAGCCGATTTTGTATTTCGTTTCAATAACCATTTTATATATTTTTTAAGAGAAAAAAAAACTGAATTTATGAAATGATCAAATTTACATTATTTTTGCGAAAATAACCAGATTTACATTTTTTGCAAAAATAGCCAGATTTACACTTTTGCAAAAATGACCAGATTTAGTTTTTTTTTTTTTTAAACAACCTCTTTTTTTCTTTTCTTAGAATGACCAGAAATTAAAAACTAAAAAAAAAAAGACTTTGAGATTGTTGTTTTTTTTTTTTGCTAAAATAAAAAGCATGAGTTATGCATCAACTTCATAATGATAAATATAAAATTCACATCTAGTTTAATAATAGAACACAAATATATAATAACAACAAGATATAATTTAACTGATTCCAATAAAGTTATGTATCGTTTCATAATGATAAAGATAGAATTAATACTTAGTTTAATAATAAAACACAAATATACAATAACAATGAAACATAATCATATTAAGTATCATAACATATTTAACTAATTCAAATAAACTAAACATAATAATTAAATCAAAAATATAAACATGCTTCATTATGTTTGAAGTTACATTGCAAAGTGTAAGAAAAGAAATATACTTAGAGAGATGATGACAAAACAATGATGAAAGCAAAACTCAATTCCCCTCCCAAAAGACCACCCAAGATGAAATATATATATATTTTTTTCTTTTTAGAAGTAATGATTTTTCCTTTTCTAATTTTCTGTTCTTGTTCTTTCTCTTCTTTTTTTTTCCTTCCCTTGAAATGAAAGAAGAATGGGGTTTAAATAGGTGTGGAGTCTTAAACCCCCAACTTTTCTTGAAAACTTAAGAGCCAATGCATGCATTGGACTCTTTGTTTTCCCAAGGTGCCACCCAAGATGACCAATGAAATTTCCTTTTTTTCTTTTTCTTTTTCTTTTTCTTTTTTCAAGATAAAATTAATTAAAAGACTATATTGCCCTTTTAGATGACCCATTTCTTTTATTCATTAATTGAATAATAGTTAAATGGGTCATCTGAAAATTTAGAATATGCCCAAAAATGTCATTTTGGATGACCCATTTCTTTTACTCATTAATTGAATAATAGCTAAATGAGTCATCTGAAAATTTTAAAATAGGCCCAAAATTGATCACGACCCAAAAATCAGAACAAAATCAGTCCACTAACACAAAATCTAAACATGTAAACTATTTTGAAGATCAAACACAACAAATAAGGCAGAAAATTAAAAATAAGAAATAAAAATTAAATTAAAAAATAAAATAAAAAAAATAATAATAATAAAACTCAAGCAACAACTTAAACATAAACTTGAAGAACACTAACAAAACAATACAAATCCGGCATCAAAACAACTTATATGGTTTTAAAAATGTGATAATGACGGATTTGGATAGAGGATGAGAGGGGGAAATGGTTGACATAAATTTTCGGACGATTGGAGGTCGCCGTAAAATTCCATCGTAATTTTTTTGACGGATTTTGGACATAAACTTTACATCAAAGGATAGTCCTTGAAGAGCTCTACACTTTTATGTAACGAATATAGGACGGGGACGGCCGAAACTTCGTAAATCTAAAGAAAAAAGTAAGATTTATGTTTGATTTTTCTTAGATTTACGAAGTTTGGCTATGAATATGAATGAATGGTTTGCGGATTTGTGTAGAGGAGGATGAAAGGAAGACGTGGTAAAAATTTAAAGATTTTTCCGGCCAAGGGGTGGTGGCCGTCGCCGGCGGTTGGTGGAAGCAAAGGGGAGAAGAAAAATAAAAAAAATGGCAATAAAAATTTGATTTTGGGATTTTGTATTTTTGGTAGGGTCCCATAAGAACCCTTGGATCAAAAAATCATGGATGGTTGAGATTTAATCTTGACCATTTCTATTGGATCGGATCAGAATTGATTGGGTCATCAGAATTTGGTCTAAATCAACCCAATTCAATAAAAAATTGGGTCATTTGGGCCAATAAAAAAACAATATAAACAAAGACAAACTACCCAAAATACAAAACAAAAACTATAAGAATATATATATATATATATATGAATAAAATAAACACGTCAAAAATTAGGTGTTCACAATAGTAATAACAACCTAGTAATTACATTGACCTGTTTGGTTGTAACAGTGTAATTACAGTGTAATTTCCTTTGTCCTGTTTGGTTGGACGAATGTAATTACATAGTTAAATTTTAAAATAGACCAGATTTTGAATAAATAATATTACGACTTAATTAATTAATGAATACAAAGTTTTCTTCTAGACACAATGACAAACAAAATAATGAAACTTACCATGCCAAGAATATTATTGAACTTATCATGCCAGCTTTGTATAACCATGATTCCGTATAACCAAAACACTTTATTTCATCGGACTCGAGCATTGGAATCTTATCAAATTGATATTCATAATTATCTAATTGTTTGACAAAATCATCATGAATATAAATGCATAACCATGATTCCGTAGAACATAATCTGTCTAGCGACTAGGATAATTGACAAGAGGCAATTCCTTACAATGTTGGCAACTTGTATTGCACATGATTAACATCTTTGATCTATACGGCATATACATAGTTAGAAGTATATTTTTTTGCTACAACAACCTTTCTTATCCAGTCAAGTCACAACAAAACTAAGAGAGTCATTCTGTATATAATATTCATCTAATTGCTCTAGTATTCCACATTTGTTGAGCTATTTCATCTCTTATATTGCACATAAATTGTTTATCAGCATCTGTCGGCCCTCGTCCAAGGTCTTCTTCATCAGAATCAGAGTCAATATCATTCAAACCGTGAGAATCTTCTATTTCCTCTTCCATGTGTTCTTCAAAATATGAATCCTGTCAATTCCACTTACGGATGAAATTATGAAGTATGCAACATGAGTGTAACACCCCGACTTTCCAAAACGTCTAAATTAACTCGTATTTTCGTGGAAAGACAAGGAGGGTGAGTAATAAATTAAAAATGATGTGGTATGTCATATTTTAAGTGTTCAAGGGTTGTATCTCATGTTTTGAAGTTAAGTAAGTGTCAAAATAAAAGTTGGCGAAAGTTATCGTAAGTTTCTTTTTAAAGATTTGTCTAACATTTGGGTCAAATGTCTTGGATGTTTTCTCCCAATATATAAAGAGTTAGAAGTCCTATCACCCATTAAATCGAAGGCCTACGAGTCTAGTTTGCAACACACAAAATTCCGTATCAAATCGACATCAGAGCAAAAAGTTATGAGGGTTTTACTACGGACTGTCGGGGCAGAATCCGGGTCGGGTCAAAAATATGATATGTCGGCTTATTTAACGTTTTAAGCCATGAAAATATTCCATTTCAGTTCCAAACCAGAGAGAAAGCTTAAGAGAGAGTTCCTATGGAGTTCTAGCATGACGAAGGTTAGTTTTTGACGATTTCTACCATTAAACATTACCCTCGTGCCTAGAAACGTAATCCCTACACGTGACAATCGTTTTTCCCTTCTATTAGCTGCGTTTAGAGCTGGTTTTTGAAGATATAAATTTGTAGTTATTGGTGTTTCTTCAAGGTTTACACTTGGTTAACTAAGGTAGTCATTTCGGGACCCTTTTATGGTTGTTTTTATGAATTTCTACGGATGTTTCGACAAGTTGGGGCAATATGGCAAATCTGCCGATTTAAGATTAATTATGAACTGTTTATATGTGCGTACCAGCTGTGTATATTTAGTTTTTGTGAAGCTTAGGACATAAGGAATAACTTTCGTGAAGAAACTACAGTCTTTCGAGTGTTCATTGGAAAGGTATGTTAAGGCTATTCCTTACTTACAACATATTTCCTTAAAGCTTAGGAGCAATGTAATTGGGTTGTTATCCTTGTTACACTTGTAGCCATTATCGTTGATTGTTGGCTGCTCGAGTTGATATAATCCTTCATTATCAGGATTCTTATTCAGTTAGTAGCGTCCCTATGTTGGACACGACTTAGAGGCTATTTGTATAGGTTGCTTATAACTAAATTGCTCGCTTTTAGCGATTGTATTGTTATTGTTGCCCTTGGGGATATTGTGGTTAGCTGTAGGAATGTGATATATGCCTAGAAGGGCTATGTTATGCCTACAAGGTTATATGGATGCCTAAAAGGGCTATGAGTTGCCTACGGGGACATATTGATGCCTAGAAGGGCTATGAGTTGCCTACAGGGCTATATTGACACCTAAGAAGGCTATGTGCTTCCTACAGAGCCATGTTGTTGCCTAAGAGGGCTATGAGTTGTCTATAAGCTATGTTGATGCCTAAGAGAGCTATGTGCTGCCTACAGGGCTATATTAATGCCTAAGAGGGCTATGTGACTGCCTACGGGGCTAGGGGACTATCGATAGGGGTATATAGGTTGATTGGCACCTTCCGGGCTTATGGGGGCTTGAGTAGGTGGTATTGTGTGCTGTTTGTACCTGCCGAGCTTATGGGGGCTTGGGTAGGTTGTTGTTTTATTGTTTTGATAAGTTTAGATTTAGGAGCATGTCAGTACACTTATCTTATCCTTGATTTATTTATCAGATTATTCCAGTATATCAGGATACCTCTTCATAGTCTATTGTCTTTTATACTCTGTACATTATTTTGTACTGACGCCCCATTGCCTTGGGGGCGCTGCATTCATGCATGCAAGTCCTGACAGACGACCGAGTAGACCTCCTCATCAGCAGGATTGACTTTTATCCGAAGCTGCCAGAGTTGGGAGATTTATTACCTTTTGTTGTATATATCTTTATGGGTAGGCTGGGGCCCTGTCCTGCTAATCTTTACTACTCTTAGAGGCTTGCAGACTAGTGTGTGGGGTGTATAGCTACGTTATGGCCATACTGGCCTATGTTGTTGGTTTGCTGAAGCTTGTGAGCTGTTTGATGTATTGTATTGATATATACCTGCTTTTAGTTTTGGTATAGATATCATTGTGGCCTCGACGGCCTAATCAGGACTTCTGTGCTAGTTGGCTATATATTTATATGATCTCCTGGGAGTAGTTGTTTCTTTTATAGATCAATTGACAGGGGCCTTGCCAGCTGATGGCTTAGTTTTAAGCCGAGATATACTTGTTTGTTTTCTTGATTGTGTGTGGCTGTCATGCGCTAGTAGCAAATGGTTCAGCAAGGTCGGCTCGGGCCTAAGTTTTGGCATTAGGAGCCAATTGCGCCCCTCGAGTTTGGGGCGTGACGATGAGAGTACAATCCAACCTTGTTTTTTATGGAATATGGAGGAGGAGTCGTTAATATAGGAAATCTTTTTTTCAAAACAGCAAATGTCCTCTCTACGACATTTTGGAGTTTTGAATGTCTCAAATTATAGAGCTCACGAGCATTTTGTGGTGCTTGTGTTTGGCTCCATTCTCTCAAATGATATCGTGCACCACGATAAGGTGCTAGAAAGCCTTTTGTATTTGCATAGCCTGCATCAATAATGTAATATTTTCCTACAAAATTACAAGTATCAACTTGAACTCTTTAGAAAAATAAACAATATCAATATCTGAATTATTAGTAAATTACCATTCGAAATTTTCAATCTATTTTCTGATCTTTCCCAAACAACATTTCTTAACACTCTAGAATCCGAAGCAGAGCCTTCCCAACCACTAAGCACGTATTGAAAGTTCATATCAAAATCTACAACAGCAAGGACATTTTGAGAAAGAACTCCTTTTTGATTTCTATATCTTGGTTGTTCTTCTATAGGTATTAGTGCAGGAATATGAGTTCCATCTATAGCTCCAACGCAATCCTTCAAAAAGCTTACAATAAATTTTGAGATATGACACAAAACAATTACAAAGTTTTAACTAGTAAAAGTAAAATGTAATGCTAAAAACTAACCTTGAACCAAGGATAAAAAAAATGGATTAGAGGATATTTCTTGTGAAATATCTTTTCCTGCCTGCTTCACATAGTGTTTCCCTAATCGAAGACAAGCTTTCAAGCACTTGTTAAAATAACGACTAATTGTTTCTCCTGAATGTTGAAAACGATTTTGCACAACTCTATTCCTTTCATTATGAGCTAATGTAAATAAAAATATTGCCAGTTGTTCTTCAACTCTAACCATTCTTGAATCAGTTAATAGACCTCTTGTTTTCATCTCATCTGCAAGTTGCAAGAAACATCCAACATTCATATGTAGTAGGTCATAGCATCCACGAGGATGTCCTTCAATCAAATATTTGATAAACTCTACTCCAGTTAAAATTGATCTGTGCACTCTTTTTTTTTTTTATCCAAGACCAAAATAATTTGCAATGATACTAATTAAAAGTACATATTTTGCCAGAAACACCATGATGTGATCTTCCTTTGCCATCCTATTTGACAAGTAAAATGAATTAATTTTAAAACTATAATGGCATAAGAAAGAGCAGAGTATTCTTATGATGACAATTTGGAACAAATATGTAACGTAATTTAAAAACAAAGAAGAGATAAATAATAATATCATATACAATTTCAACAAAACATAAGATAAGTCTTTGGCTTAATTCTAGAATAGATAATCTGGAAGTAAATAAGATACTAGCCCAAAACATCATTCAAACAACAAAATATGCTTTTAAACGACATCACTCAATATAAACTAAGTTTGCGCAAAACCCATTTCTTTCTAAGCTCTGAAGCCATAGCAAAACAAAATTCAGCATATCTCTTATCTGCAAGGAGGTCAACAGTTTGCATAGTCCATTCATCATCGAAGTCAAATTTCAATATCAAAGGCATTAATTTTTCAGCAGAAGTGTTTTTTGGTTCATGTTGTAGCCTTATTTGTTCTTCAGCTATTGTTGTCCATCTATCAACAGATTTGGCCAAGCTGTTTCCAATAGAATTCTTAATTTTCTTGGGACGTGATGTCAGAATTGGTTGCTCATCTAAATGTTTTTTTCCTACTCTCTTTTCTTGATTAGATGATTGAGTTATTTCAGGACTAGTAAAGTTCATGTTCTGAACAAAATATCCATCATCCTGGTCAACAAATTGTGTATCTTCAGGAGCAGGTGTGGTAGCTTTTTCAGCAGCTATATCATCATCGGTGAATTCACTTTGAAAATCTTCGACATCATTAATTTCACACCTATTCCTACCATCAGCGACAATATCTTCAAAAATTAAGGCCAAAGTATTATTGTCTGGCAACGTCTTCGTCCTATACTTAGAATCTTTTGGGTGTGCCTATTATATTATCAATAGTCTTAAATTAGAAAAATAAATAACATAAATTTAAACTATATCGGGAAAAAAATAACAATATATATAACTCACTGCAAGGTATGACTCCCAGACATCATCTTTAACATCAACTTTTCGAGTTTCTTCATTCCACCCAAATCCACTGTGTTATGACATTCTCTTCATAGTTGCATATATCTTCTTCAAAGTCCTCATCCTATTTTTCATTTTAGTCTTATCTAATTTGTCCCCATATAGCTTGTTCATTTCTTTTTCTACATTATCCCATCCTTCGGTGGTTAAGCCTCCTGGTTGCGTTCTTTCCAACTTAACTTGCTCATCAATAAAGTAAATGAAGTGTTCATCTTGAACTTCACTCCATTTGGTGTATGGTTTTCCAACCTTAGGTGTTTGGTTAGTTGTCATCCTACATAAATGAAAATCTAAAAAAATTCAAGGCAAAAGAGTACTTCACTAAAGCAGGCTATGATGTTAATTTGGCAAGGTGAACTTGATTGTTCTTAGAGTAACACGAGGAGTAATGTACCTCAAGCTCACATTTACCGAATGACTGACTAATCACCTATTTCAAGTATGGCAAGAAAGGAATCAAATATTATTTTGGTTCGACGCATTATCTAAGAAGTGATGTACAAGGCCAGTTTCAAGCCCAAGCGAGCAACGAGGATAGCTAACCTGAACTATTAACCCATTTAAAGTTTGTTTGGTAGGCTAGCTAGGAGTTGATATTTTGTTTTGCTACTTACTGTTGCTACCAGTGATAATATTTATGCATTGTAACAATCAACTAGACAATTTCAAATACAAAGAATGTAAATGGGAAGAAAGCAAGAGCAGAGGTATATCGACTGAGGCGAACTTCACAAAGTCATAAGCTAGTAAGACAAAGAAGAGAAATAAGCAAGCTAACATGCTTAAAGCCATGATTTATTAAAACCATACAGATCCTGAAATTACATAACCAAATGATTGTCATTGTAGGAAATATGTATAACTGATTGTTAGAATCGATTTTCTAATTTATTATTATTATTATTATTATCAGAAATTAAAGAAAAAAAATTAATTCTCATATTTATTTTAATCTCAAGAACTAACAGGAGAAAATACAAAGATTAAATTCATACATAATCTACCTAGACATCAAAATATGAAAGTAAAATGAATCAAGAAAGAAATCTTACTTGAAAGAAGAAGTACAGGGTTTGTTGCTGTGGTGTTCTTAGAACTGAAAATGTCTAGACAAAAAAGAAGAACTGTCTTGGTATTCCAAACAAAAATATATTAAAAAAATATAATATTAAAAAATTCAAGTAATTACACTCAATTCCTTACCCTCCCTTGGAAATTGAGGAGTGTAATTACTCCCCTTCAATTACACCCAATTCCCCTCTTACCAAGTAATTACTTGGTCTACCAAATAGGACAAAGAGAGTAATTACACTAATTTTCAATTCCATTGTGGCCTTCCAAACAGGCTTTTAATGTTACCAGAGCATTATACTTTCAATGCTGATCAGAACCATGATTTCATAAGGCATTCCAAACACAGGCTTAATATGCAAAATAGAAAACGAAAAAACAAACATTAAAAAGGGCCAATCAAGTTTGAACCGGTGACCTCCTAATTTGCGGTCAACAGCTCCATCACTGAGCTATGAACCCTTGATGTTATCAAAACTAGGTTATCCTATTTCGTTCGGAAGGTTATCTATTTGATCTACATGTTATCGGTTTGAAGATTCCTATATCGTTAAAGAATCGTTAAAATATTGATCAACTGACTACTAGTTAATTAGTTATTTCATTTTCGATTCGATTATTGGGTTACCTATTAAGATTACACATGTGTTTTCTCTATTGAAAATCACTTGCAGACAATGTCATAAACAAAATCTAATGATATTCCAAAATTATTAAGTAATTTTAGCCTAAAAATCAAATCCATCCAATCAAACATGATCTACTAGCTTAGTATAAGTATTAATAACACAATGCGCACGATATTAAAAAAATTTAAAACATAATGAACTTATAAGATTTATCCTTAATTATTATCAGATTATTAGTTAATCCGTCAAAAAAATAAATTTTAAATTGATATGAAATTGATAACAAGATAAAAAATAAAATCAAAACCATTATCAAACTGTTAAACCAACAATTTATTATTAATTAACCTATTAAATATTTTTTGACGCAAATTTAGAGTTTGTTTGACATTGCTGCTGGGATGCCGAAACACTTATTTTGAGAAAAACACACTTTTGTTGAAAAATAAATCGTTTGACAAATCAATAAAAGTGCTTTTAAATGAAAACAAAAACAGTTTTTCTGCTATTGGGAATAAGTTAAAAAAATTTGCTTCTTACAAAAAGCAGAAGCAGAAGTAGAAATAAGAAATTATTTTACCAATATATCTCTTATTAATTAATTAGCATATTTCATAAATTTGGCTAAATTTCATTCAAGAATTTTTATTTTTATATGATAAATTTTATAATTTATTTTACGTTTATATATTATTATTTTATATATTACATATTATTTTGCAGAATTAAAAAAAAAAGTAACAACAATATTTTTGCAAGACTTAAAAAAAAGAAAAAAGAAATAATTAAATTTTTTAGCCTCCCAAAAAAGTATATAATATTGATTGAAAATTTAAATGTGTTCATTTTAATTTAATAAATAAAAATAAAAATTTAGTTAATATTTTAATAATAGATATTATAAATAGTTTCTCTCTATAAAATAATTTTAATATTAAAAGTACATTAATAATTGTCCTTTTCTGTAATTTGTCTTTCAAACACTTTTTAAAAAAGATTAGTCAAACGCAATTTGCTTATGAAAAATACTTCTCAAATAAATTAGCAAACACAATTTTTTTTTTCAAAAACACTTTTCTGAAAAGTCGTTTTTAAAAAGTACTTCTAAAATTAAGTTGTTTTTAGTAAGGCGAAATGGTCTAGTGGAACCTTATACTTGTACGAATTTGTATTGTGAATCCTTCTACTTACTCGTTTGTCAATTGAACCCTTAAACTCAATCAAAATGAGTCTTTTAAACCCCTCCAACCATGTGTGTAGCTCACTCTCCTTTACATAAATGACATGACATATCCACATCAGATATATTAATGTCATGTCATAATTATTTTTAAAAGTATTAATCAAAGTTATGTAATTAAAGGTAAAATAATAAAAATTTAATTATATTCTTTAAAGTAAAACCCAATACATTTTGTTGTGAAAAAAAAAAGACCAATACATTTTCTCCATTCCCACTGTTTCAGGCCCAAGCAGTGGCCGCCATCGCCATTTTTGTTGGCGAAACCACTCGTATTCCTTCCACTTTAATCTCTCCCACATCATCAGCATTTCCCTTTTCCTCTTTCAACCTCCACAAAATCAACAACCTAAGCCATTGCACTAGATCTAGCCAAACACCATTACCATTTTCGCCTTCATCTCCGCCGCACACCATTGTCATCTTTGCCGCCATGATTAGATCCTTGCACCCTCACCCACCTCGTTCTCCTCTCCATTGACCAGCCGCACCTCTCTTTCCCTCCACTGTGTATCAGTAGTGTCCGGCGAGCACCACCGGCGCCGCTCTCTTTCTCCATCGGTAAATTGGTGGACTCAAGAAGGTGACAGGATCATCTAAATAGATGAAAATAGATTGTGAAAAGAAAGAAAAAGGGTTTGGGCAGGGAAGGATATGGCTGAAAAGGAGGAGTAATGGGTGAAGAAGACAACATTTTTAATTAATTATTTTGAAAAAAATATTTCTTTTATAATTTTTAAGTAGAAATGCTCCTCACTTCCACCAGACCATTTCACCTTTTAGTAATAATGTCAAAAAAAAAAAGAGCAAGAACTATAAAGGGCCCAACCGGGTTCGAACCGGTGACCTCTTGATCTGCAGTCAAAT